GGGGCTCAAAATTATAGAGTCTGAACTGAATAAATGTAGAAAATTTGTCATAAAAAGTCCATTGATGATATCGGTTGAAGAAAGAACTTGAAGCACAAAGAGGTCAGTTTAATCAAACCAGTACTGAAAGTAAAATAAGCTTTTTTCCCCTTTACCACAGGTTCTCACTTTACCAGCCTCCTTTATTATCACTTCCTGAAGTCGTGTAACTTTAAAATCTCTGGTGCCTCATTTAAATAGCTTCAGTACAGCCTGCAGCCAAATGGAGCCTTTCTTATCAAGGCAATGGAATCTGCAAGATAAATCAAGGTATAAAATCCTGTGTAACAAGTTCTTGTTCATTACTCTGTCACTCTGTCAGGTTGCCTTTAATGACAAATGACACATCTTAGATGAAGTAAGGGACCCCCCCTTTGTCTGTTACTGAAGTATGCTGTGTTCTTGTCCATTTTTAATCTTGTTTATCTTTTTTTCAAACTCTAGATCGTATGCAGTTATCCCTTTTGATCATCAAACCCAAAGACTTAACTAAAGAAAAAAAAACAATCTTCTTCAAATAAATTAACCAACCATTTACCTCTTTATTCATCAACACAAGGTTATGATTTACATGTTCTGTGGTGCCTGGTTGCCATGTGTCACCTGTGCTTTAGACTTTGCATTTATTCTATTTCTCATTGGTCGTTTAGGTGCTCAGTGGCACTTGTAGAACATACCGATACAAGACGTGGCCATGCTCCATTCAGTAAGCACCCTGGCTTACAAACAAAGCAGCCTTCAATAAAGGGGCCAAACTACTTTACTATTATTGCTGTACATAATTATATAACTTTTTCCTTTTACCTCTGACCATTTCTAGCTTTTCAAACCAGCTGCATACAATAAACACCGTGCTCACTGGCTTTTTGAAGTGTACTTCCTCATTACTCTGCTGCTGTCAAGTCAATAAAGTGTTAATCAGGTCAAACTGCTATGTCTGCTGATCTATGCACGTTTACAGAAAGTGGGAGGGTGTAAAGAAATCTCTTTCCTGTAAACAGTCTGTTTAAAAGAATGAGTAAGTCAGCTGCTTCAATGATTCTCTGACACAGCAGTGCAGGTTTTTTGATTCCCCAAAGACTTGTGCGGAACTTACTTCAGTGACGCTGTCCCGGGCTGGGTGTGAGACTTTGTACAAGATACAGTAATATTTTTTTCATTCATGCAGAGAGATAATACTGTCCTGCAGCTGGACCATGAAGCGATCTTCTCTCCTTATTCTGATGCTAAATGCCTTCTGCACCCTTTCACAAAGTAAGTTTTAAAATGTCCTGCTTAGTTCCTGTAAGAGATTTTCAAGGCAGAGTTCTTCAAAAATATATTATTTAGTTCATCAGACAGCATCTTTATATTTCTTTCACAGGTTTACACTCATGCATTTATAATTGTCCTCATTTCCATTCTATTGTTTTCAGTTCCCCATGAAGTCACCTATGTTGTGGGCTGCGAGAACAACACAGTGGAAGTTCAGTATGAGTTTGATAATGAGGAGATTTTATATATGGATTTCGAAAGAAACGATATCGTTTACACTGTGCCACCTTTTATTATGCTAAACCCAAGTGAAATATTTAGTGGCATACATTTGTATGGAGATGCTCTCAAAGCCAAAGTAGCGTGTGGCGTAGTTCTTGGTGTCCTCAAATCCCAGGAAAAAGATCTACCAGAGGTAACAGGTGAGTAATCATGAACATTTATCAGTGTTATGAAGTGATTAATGAAATGCTAAAGACGGTTTTTAATGGACTCTCACCCCTTTGAAGACCCCCCTGAGAGCGTCCTCTACCCTGCAGACGAAGTTCAGTTTGGATTTGAAAACAGCCTCACTTGCTTTGTAAATCACTTCTACCCACCTGGAATCAAAGTCAGCTGGACTAAAAATGGCCACCCAGTGTCAGAAGGGGTGTCGCTCAGTCGATATTATCCCAATAAAGATAAGACCTTCCACCAGTTCTCCACCCTGAAATTCACACCAGAGGAGGGGGACATTTACAGTTGCACTGTGGAGCACATAGCTCTGGACCTGCCTCAAACCAGGATCTGGGGTAAATGCTTTACCCACTTTAAGATTTTAATAAACCAAACATGTTTTGTTGTGCCTGTAATAATGATGCCTTTGCTTTCTATCTTTCTCCACAGAACCAGACATCAGTCATCCCAGTATTGGACTAGATGTTTACTGTGGAGTGAGTGTGACTGTGGGCTTGTTGGGATTCGCAGGTGGAATAGTTTTACTCATTAAAGGACACCTTGGACAATAAATGCTCAGTTTGAAAAAGATGTGATAAAGGTTATAGTTCCTTAAGCTGCAGTCTGGTTTTAAGAGGTGAAAATATCCCAACTGCTGGTGTTTTTTTATTCTTTCCTTGTTTCTTTAACTGCTCATTCAATAACTTATAGGTAGAAGTTTTGGAAAAATACATCTATAAATGTAATATTTCCTCACAAACAAGAAAAACATGCGTCAGCATTAAACATAACACATTGCAGTTTATATTTAGCTTTAAATTAAATATGGGTTTAAGGGAAAATTCCACATCTTTACTAATAAACAATAATGAGAAAAAGTAATTTTTCCTCCTCCACTTTCCAGAAAATGTGTACTCATTAAAGGCTGTTTGGAGATTTTCTCTTTGTTACATCACAAAGGGCAGTAACCCCTTCCCCAGGTGGGTGTCCTCCGAGTCTGCCTTCTTAATGTAAACCACTGGGAATGGTGCAAGAAAGCCCAAGCCACCAAAGCCTTTCTAAAGTGGTGTGTTCAAACACAGCTCACTTGCATTTAAAGATACAGAAACAGCCTGTTCTGAGCAGGGCTGAAATAGAGGGGTTTATAGGCATGATACAAAACAGGATCAGAGTGGATTTTTAGTAAGAAACTTCACAGACATGTTTTTGGGAACTGAGATTTTTTGTTGAAGTGGAGTATAATATGTGACCTTTATCTACATGTGAAAAATGATCGACAATCTTGCAAGAGTGACCTCACTACAGCAGATAAAACACGTTTTGAAAAAAAGTGACTCATTGAAATCATTCAAGTTAAAAAAAATGTGAAAATCATTTTGGTTTTCCCAAGGTCAGTGTTTATGTGTTCTGTTCAGGTGTGCTATTAAACCAAAAGAAAAGAGAAAGACGTGATGTGCATGGGGCAGGATTTTCAGCAAACATGTTTTAATAAATAAGATAATACAGTTCTCTTTAGCCTACCTTTCTTTTTACATTTTGTTGCCTTTTAAATAGTTGAAAATGCATACACAACACTACAGATCTTAGCTTTGTAAAATGTAAGATATTAAATGAGACTATGCTCCATGGGGCATAGCTGTTTGCATGACAAAATAAAACATGTAATTGGTTGATTCATTAAAAGATTTATTCGTCAATGTAAAAATTACATGATTTCCCTTTTGGGATGATTTATTTATACATTTTCAATTTAGCATACAGACAGCAAAGTTACAAGGGAAACAGCAGCCACCCACAGGTAAAAGAACACAAAAGAAACAGTTGGAGAAAAAACAAGAAGCCACAGAACAAAACTAAAAGATAATAAATAAATCATATATTGTAGGATACCAAACAGCACAACTGTTAAATACACAGTCAAAGTGTCTTGTTGATATATACATAGTGAATCATGTACACACAGATATGACACAGTTTGTACAAACTTATGCAAGCAGGGCAATACTTTTGATCATTCTTGAAAAATAAAACAAAAACAGTTGCCACGTTTTGCTGAGAGTAGAACAAAGCGTTACAGGAACTCTTATATACCTGCAGCTTTAGCACTGCTGAACAAAGCAAAAGATGATGCACTTAAACCATGCCGGGTGGCCCAAAGTGCTGATTTACATTTTGGGCAGGTTGTAGAAAGAGAACGGTAAAATGAACCCTTTTATCACATTTGTAAACAGATACAGGTCCCTGACCTTGATTTAGTGAGCCACAAAACAACATTCAATCTAAAGAGTTGCGCTAGAGCATACCGGTAAAACAGGTATTTCTGGTCAGTTATTTGTTCCGTTTCTTCTTTTCAGAGGACGTCAATTTCTTCTATAACTCACTGATGCACAGAGCAGGTTTTTGCTAATACACAAGAATTCATGCATGATTTACCAGTGGACCAGATGTCTTCTGTGGAGTAGGCTCGACTCTGGGCTTGGTGAGGGTCACAAGTGTAAGTAAGTAGTGTGAAAATGCTGAGATAAACTTGTGAATAAAATATGTAATTATCTAACAGAGGAGTTAATTCACAAAAGGTAGAAAGTGTTTTGCAGTATTAACATTAAGAGTGGGCATAGATTGATATCAGAGGAGGATATTAATACAGTATTAACGTGTTTAAGTGATGGAACATAAAATTGGTTTAAATAATCATATGTACATTCACAGCGGTTACAGTTCTGGCACTCTGGGACTGTTTAGCGTTTATCAGAGTGACAGCCTGGGAGAATAAACTTGTAAACTTTCTGAGTCGGGTTGTTTTGGCTTTCTGTGATCTGCAAAGCCTACTGGAGCGGAGGAGTAGTTTGAACAGTTTGTGACCCGGGGTGTGAGGAGTTTCCTGACTTTGGTCTGGTATAAGTCCTGGATGGGGGATAGGTCAGCACAGATGAATTTTTCTGCAATTCCGGCCTCTTTCTGAGCTACAAAGGCAACAAGACCGCCACAGACAACACAGATAGTTTCTTAACAGTTGTTCTTTATGTTTGAAACCACTTCTGTCCCGTAGGTGTCAGATGAATTGATTACCTCGCTTTCTCCGTCAAAGCACTTTGCAAACATCTGTTTTTAAAGGTTCTTTAAAAATTAAAGTCATTATTATCATTATCTGCACGCAGCGTTTGTTTAGAAGCAAATATTCATGAATGAGAATGAGTGAAACAATTCACTATCAAAAGTGAGGAACTCTTTGAGCCACACCTACTTTAAAGAATGTTACTGCTGCTACACTTCCTCATGTGCTGTGTGTGTGTGTGTGTGTGTGTGTTTGGGTTATTCGTGTCTGTTCTCGTAAGTGATTATGAATACATGCAGCTTATTTTCACTGCTAAGTCTTCTGCTATTCTCAAGAGCAGGTATGTTTTCCTAAAACATAAAAGCTTTAACATTGTTTTTATTGTGTTGCTGTTATAAAGAACATGCTGATTTGAAAGACAGTGTTTTAAAGTCATCTAATACTTGTTGCTTTCTGTTACAGACGCTCTCTACGCTAACGCTTTACTTAACTGCGTGTTCACTTCAACAAATGATGTTGTGTATCTGGGACAACTCTTCATCAATAAGGTGCTGTGGGGAGAATACAACAGCACTGTGGGGAAATATGTCGGATTCACAGAGAAGGGAAGACAAATCGCAGAAGAGGTCAACAAAAACCCTTCTTTCTTGAAACAAGAAAAAAAGAATTTAGAGAAATGCAAGACCCACGTCCCAGTGGCAATGGAGATCCTTTCAAAAGCAGGTAACTTTGTGAGTTAAACTCTGGTAATACTTTATACCAAAATCTTATTGTGGTTTTAATCAGTATACAGTATATGTTGTATCAATAAAATGCCAACCTGTTACCTACATCAGGACAATATACATGAGTACAAGAGGAACATAAATGTTCATGAAAAAATATTAAGTAGACTATTCAGGTAGGTATTTTTTACATTTTCTTTTCTAATAACCTAATGTCTAGCTACAGTCATCAGGAATTATTATTTATAATTTATAATAATTTATAATAATAATATAATTTAAAATAGCATGTTACATTTTGGAAAGATGGTGAAATTAGAACTCTTATAAAAGTATATTTTGTCCTTTTTTGGACGCTGCTAGATAATGTAATGTCTGCTCTGTCCACATAAGATTTGCACATTTTAACTAAAATAATGGTGTGGTCATTATTTTAAAACAAACCCTATATTGTCCAAAGCATTCCCCATTGAGATGTGAGCTGTGGAACTATTTCCGGAGGAGTGCTACTGGTGTCTTCAATCTGTTTATTTTAGTTCATGATCGGGGTTCAATAATGCATTTAAATGTCTCATTGTGTCCAATACATCATAAAGCATAAAGTGTTACATTCAAGTCAACTTGACACGCCGACACGGCCAAAAGACTACATGCCTCCAAACACACACCGGAATCCAATTACCTGGAGCCTTGGCTTCATGCACAGCACAAGTCAAGACTCCACCCAGTGTTCAGTAACGGAATTACACTCAAAATACAAATTCACAGTGTTGTGTTAGGTTTCTTGCAAGGATCAATAAAACCAAGCATTTTGGCTCCTACAAATTATAACACTTTAACTAGATACTTATTTCAAAGGTCTGTAGATAAAACTATTTAAAAAAAAAACACTTCTTTAAAAAATATCAGGTTACTTATTCAAGTAGACTTGTAATACAGGGAATTCAAATTTATGAAACCTTTCCGACAGCATGTTATTATTTTCTTTTTATGTGTGGTTCGTTGGGGGCTTTTGTTAGATAAAAGCAGAGAAAGCTCCATAGAAAAAGTTTGGGAACCACTGAAGAGCACTGAATCATATTTCATATTCTTTGTACATTTTTCTTTCTAGGTTTTATTGGTAAGTTATTAATGAGCTGCCATAAAATATTTAAGACATGCTTTCTTGAAAACGTTCACCACATTGATGGTTTTATTATAGGTCTGTCATTTAACGTCTACTTGTTTTGTCTCCTTGTTCTTTCGTGCAGTCGAGCCCTCGGTCAGACTGAGAGCATTTGATGCAACGGACAGCAAACACCCACGAATGCTCGTCTGCAGCGTGTACAACTTCTACCCCAAACAAATCAATGTGAGATGGCTGAGAAATGGAAAGGAGGTGACATCTGATGTGACGTCCACTGAGGAACTGCCCAATGGGAATTGGCTTTATCAGATGCACTCCTACCTAGAGATGACTCCCAGAGCTGGAGAGAAAATCGCCTGCATGGTGGAGCATGCAAGTTTCCAGAAGCCCAAACTGTATGAGTGGGGTAAGAGAGTGACAGAAAGTGTGAGGTGTGATGTTTTATGTTGGTAAACAGTCTCATCAAGTTTAGGGATTATTTAACCGACTCAGTGGACAGTCAGTTATCATTTCTATCATCCAACAACTACAATGAGGTGATGAGGCCATCTTTATGCGTCCGGCAAGCAAATTTATTTTCAGAGTTTGCTGCCTTTACTGACAATAAAGCTCTGCCCATCCAGGAAGTAAAATGACAGGTAAAGTAGAATCAGATTGTGTTAATCTTACACAAATGACACAATTCTAAATGGACCCTACTGATGTCATTACTAAAAAAATATGCTAGTTTTAACAAAGCTGGCAACCTCTGCTGTTGAAAATGAAGCCAAAGCAACTGTTAGAACACTGCAGTTTTTTGTGTCCACTTGAGGCTAGCTGCAAATGACCCAGTAGTCCATGCACACCCTTGTTAAAAAGTCTATTTTTACAGTCTGGTTAAAAAAACAAATTTGGTCTGAATAGCTCGTGTCTTGATTGCACACGCTGTATTCAACTGTTTTGATCTTAAGACTAAGAGGTATTTATAATTAAGGTGTGGCTGATCTGAGTGTCAGGCAGAGGATGTTCCAAAAATGGTGTCTGCACTGTTGGGATTAAAAACTACGCTTCAGAAACCAATGGGTGACATCACTGAGACTATTCTTATACTATGTTTTGTACAGTCTACAGGTTATAGAAATCTTCAAATTGAGTTTTGGTATTTTATTCATACAGTATGTAAATCTTATGTAGTGTTCTCGATAAATGTATTTTCAGACCGATATGTGAGTCTGACAGGACCAAGATTGCTGTGGGGACAGCCGTGTGCTGCTGGGTATAGTCTCCTGGTTGCCGGACTTTTTTGCTACCTGAGGAACCCACATGTGAGAGAACCATTTCACCAAAAAGCCAAAACAAAATGCTCTTCCTTGTTAACATTGAGGATAACATTTAGTAACTCTACATGGAACCTATTTTCTAATACAAGGAAGCAAACACAATGTTTAATTGGTGTGATTATGGGCTACATGTACAAGTACAGATGGGCATACTCTATCTATAATTATAAAAAGTCTGACCAAAAATTCATCACAAATTATTGTGATTAAAAGTCAACAAGTTCAGTTATACTTCACTCTCTTCCCCCTCTTGTTCTTTTCTAGGACGTCAGTTGGTGCTGACGCAGCCTGCCAGTTAAGGATTGAATGAAGAAGAGACGAGCTCCACAATCAGTTCTCCAAGAGAAATACAGCTTCACTATGTGCTTGAGGATGCTAATATGCTTTCATTTCATAGCTTTACAAATGAATAATTTGAGCGGTCATTTTACTTTGCCAAAGTGGGAAAACTTTGCCAAAGGGACAAAGAGCCTGATGGACAAAGTGGTCGAGGTGACTGCAAAAGGCTGCATCACAATCATCGGTGGGGGCGACACTGCCACCTGCTGTGCCAAGTGGCTGTGCCAAGTGGTCCCAAATTACTAGTCATCCAAATAGTTCTGGCTCTACTGCGATAGAAAACATGTTGTAAGTTGTACAAAATGAAGGTCAAGGTCTTCAATGGAAAAAGTTTAAATTTTTGTATTTTTTTTTATTACTCTTGTTGAAAATTTATACACAACAACACTACATTGCTAAACTTTCTGAATCTAATTTTTCAGTCACGCTGGCTTGTGTTTGATGAAAAATCACATATTGGTATAGCCTATAATGAGTATGATACTTTAAAACCCTTGTGTTATTTATCTTATTATCTGCAGACATAATCTCCTAATTTTCAATGTTTATGTTTAATGTGAATGATGTTAAATGTTGTTGTTTTATGGCTGCAGCATGGAATTTTATTTTTTTATTTTATTTAAATTGTACTGTGTTCACTTTTTGTCTGCAATCTTTGCTCTTTGCTGCTGTAACAATGTAAATTTCCCCATTGTGGATAAATAAATGATTATCTTATCTTAAACATTCTCACCTTGTGGGATAAATAAAGTTAATTTTGAATCTTGAATAACCATGATCGAGGCTAATAAGTTGTACGGAACCTTAGTCATATAACTTCATATAACTTGGCAAGAAAAAAGGTTTTGACCATCATGCGCCATGTTGCCTGTAAGACAGCTTCAAGGGTTTTTTACAACCCATGAGAAGCTCCTCGTCATGCGCATGCGCTCTGTGGAACGATGAGCCGTTTTGGATTCTATTTCATTTTATCTTTTTGTTGATTAAATGTCCGAGTTTGATCCTGTTCCTGTGTTTGCGATATATGTTTACGTTCATTACAGAACAAGATAATAGACATGGAAATAAGAGGGAGAAGAAAAGACGCAGATTGATATGTTGTTTTCTCTGTGATAAGACGTTCACTGGTTTACGAGCACGTCATGAAATGTGTCGTCCTTGTCACCGCGGCTCTGAGTGACGTCAGTCTGAAGTGATGGACTGTGTTGTTCCCGTCTCGGAGGTCAAACACGCACTGAGTGCATCACGAGAGAGGGTTAAAAAACTCACACGAACTGAGAATGACTGGAAACGGAGCATTCACCAAAACAGCAGGTACGATTTAAAGACTTATTTGTGAAGTTCAGATAGCTGAAAATACCTGTAGGCCTAAGTGGAGACTGGCCCTTTTTTTCATTCTGTGCTCAGCTATAATAACTCACCATTGTTATTAATCTTTCTTAATAGTGGGAAGTTGTTTGCTTATTTTGGAGTTTCCAGACGAAACCTACATAG